TAAATTAAATCTAAACCAAAATATATACTATAATACCATAGCAAAGCTACTACTATTTTATTTAGTATAGTAAATTATATATAAAAAATATGAGTATGTCTAAGGTAAGGTTAAATATAAACAAATATTTGCCAAGTGCGAATCCGACTTCCGAGCTTCCGTACCATTTTACAAGATTTAAATATACGTATTACTATCGATCAAAAAAAGCCAAAAATACTCGTTTCTTTTTCTAGTAGGAAACCCTTTAATTTCAAATTTATTTTTACTATTTGCTGTTATAGCGGCAACAGAAATACACGTTCTGTGAAAATTACAACCATCTACCTGTTACGGATCATGAGATACAGCCCGCTGACAGACAGACACACGGACAGTGGAGGCTTCGTAATAGGGCCCTGCTGGTTATCCTTCGGGTACGGAATCTTTCTTTCTTCAAAGGACCATTAGCCACCTGCCTGGTTCTCGTATGACATGACCAATGTAATACCTGGACTGACCTCTCTGAGTTTGTTTCGGCAGATCGGGTACTTCTTCTCAGTTTCATGTTTTTGTTGTGTTAGTGTTTTTTAAAAAAACAACTTACGAAACAAATTTCATTTATCATTGACTGCCCTTCTTAGATTAAAGTAAAGTTACAGCCTATATACACGTCCCACTGCTGGGCACAGGCCTCCGCTTATTTCTGAGAGGGTTTTAGGGCAAGTAATTGTCCGCCGAGCTGCCCCAATGCGTGTTGTCGAACTTCACATGTCTTCGAAATATATTTTTTTTATTTCTCTGACATGCAGGTTTCCTCACGATGTTTTCCTTCACCGCCGAGCACGTGGTAAATCAGCACTTAAAATTGCAATTAACAATTTCATTGGTGCCGGCGGGGATCGAACCCGGTTTGCTCGCGTACTGTGAAATTTAAAGCGCACGCTAACCATCTAAACTACCACGGCTCTTAATTCTTATGTACTTACAAGCCGATACCACAGACTCGGCTCCACGCCGTGGTAGCGGCGTTAAATATATTTCCATCCCCATTTCGCACCATGAGGAATCGAATTAAAGAAATGGCCCCGAGTTCCCGGCGCCCCTTTAATGGGGCAGGGGTGCGAAGAATCTCCGGGAGGAAAACCGGCGACGAGGTTCGCCACCCGTCACGTTCTGTCTCTCGGAGAGGCGAAAAGTGGATTGCAGAGGCCCGTCTGGCTACGTTGAATGTATGTGGGGCAATGAATGATAAAATGGATGAAGTATGCGATATGATGTATGGTGCAGAAGTGAATGGCAGAGTCGGAAAGGGACGTCCTAGGCGAAAATTTATCGACCAAATTGGCGATTTATTGAAAACGGGCCAAATTAGGAGTACCCTTAACCGACGAGCATGTATGCGTAGGTGTATGGATGTGAAGGAGACAAGAGAGGTGTGTCAGGATCGTGCCAAATGGAAGTCTGTAATCTCTGCCTACCACTCTGGGTGACAGGCGTGAGTGTTTATAGATATATATAGATTACATAAATTACATTAGGTATATTAGGATATGAGATTCCTATACGTAAGCACGATTATCGAAAATCTAAAAATTACCTATTCTAATTAAATTTATAGATAATTTTAAGATTTTCGATAATCGTGCTTATCTATGAGATGTTTTCGTTAGTTGGCAAATTAAAGTAGTTAAGTACCTAATGTACTACCTGTATCGAAAGTTCATTATTATGTACCCACCTGTTTTCAATTTTAACTACATGTGCTTCAACAAGCTTATGGGTACATTTTAGCAGCTATATTCATCCCGGCTTCAGCAAGTGGACACGAACAAAAGGAAGAAATTTTTCTAAATAAAGATGTAGATATGTAGGTATTACAACCGTAAATAGATAGCAGCGGCTAACCTAGTGAGCATGTGTGAGTGCGCGCTGCGCCTCCCCCCCCCCCCTCTGTCCGTCCCACTGAACGGGGAAACAATTTGTAGCGAAAGGCAAGATAATTTACAACGAAACGGAGCGCGCGAGATTTTATAAACAGACCTTTGGGAGTCTGGATGTCATGAAAAATCTATTGAATGTATCTGTTCAAAATAAAATTATTTGCATTTTTGAATACCTAATCTATCCCTGTGTGGTAATTGTTTTGCAATTTTCGTTCTTCTTATGGTATTTATTTCCGCCCAAAGATGTGTTAAAAATAGTGTTGAAATTCGGAGTTTTCGACGCTTATAACTTTTAAACATAATCTTTTTTTTACTATTTTGTTTCCATACAGGGCTAGATAATTATGAGACAAATTGAAATCATTTTTTATTTTGTACGTACATCATCAAACAGTGGAGTAATCGCCAGACTACGTTTGTATGGAAGAATGAGCGACTAGTGTACTCTTAAATGCACTAACCATGGTTGTTGTAGATAAAATAAGTGAACTTTCTATTGGTTACTATTTTAGATAATGAAAATTAATTTTATACTCTAAAAAATATATCTTTTGATTTTTGCCCATCCGTTGTGGTCAGCGTCAGCTTATGCCTGTCAGTTGGTGTACGTCAGGTGTCTAGCAATGTATTGAAGTAATTATAGCCTAAATATATTCCACTTTTGGACACAGGCCTCCTCTAATTTATGAGGTTTTAGGGATAGGAAACGCATGGTGACGAACTTAATTAATCTTTCTCAGATATTTGTACGATATTTTTAACATAAAGCTAATATATATATATATATGGTGTGTGTGTGTGTGTGTGTGTGTGTGTGTGTGTGTGTGTGTGTGTGTGTGTGTGTGTATGAGTAATTGTGTTATTTTTATGGCTTTTACAGATCATCCGACTTATAATAAGCCACAGGGTATGGTGAAAACTATTCAGTTCGAATTCAATAGGATATATTTATCGACTTAAAAAAGGACGAGGGAGCCTCCTGGGCGAGGCTAGGTATCCTAGCCACTAGACCATACCGGATTCATCTATACTACTGAAATACATATATAAATACTGATAAACGACAAATAATGAAATTCATAGTTATAATAGAAAATTTTTAGGGAACTGTTAGATTTACTATTGAATCAGGTAGATGACGCTCTTGTTGAATCCAGAAATCACCCATGCAAAGCCGGGGCGCATCGCTAGATGTCTATATACCTTTTTAACTTTTTATCTACTTTCCCTCTAAGCCACAGGGTATGCTGAAAACTATTTTTCTATCGAATAGGGTATTTTACCGACTTAAAAAAGGAAATTCACCGACTTATTCAATTCGACTGTATGTTGTTTTTGTGTGTTAAGTCTAACTTTTCTCTGATTGAACCGATTTTGATTTTTTTTATTTGACAGCTGGTACTTCTCATGTGGTCCTATACCAAAAATTTTCCAACCAGTAGTTCTTGAGTTATCCTTAATAACGCGTATTTAATTGACTTCGACTGCATTAATGATGTTCTCATTTTATTTATATTGAAGTTGGTTGTACAAAATTTTTATTTTACCACTTCTACTTCGCATATTTCTATTTGACTTCTCTCGTGAAACTTATTATAATTTAAATCTGAAACTATAAAGTAATTTTGTTTAATAAGTCCGTAAGGTATTTTCAAAATTCGAATACTTGCTTAATCAAATATCTTGATTCCAAATCCATCCAAATTAAAAGTTAAATGTCCTTTAAGTTGCCGACTTTTATAAATATGTTAAGTAACTTATTTTTAGTAGTGGTGTTAAAATTTTATTGTAATTGGTTTTAAAAGAAAAACGTAAAATATCTCGTGCTCTTTTTGTATTAGCCCAACAATGAACGCTTACTGTATGTCCTCAAACAGGTATTTCGACAACTAGGTGTAATGTAAATGAACAACACAGCTGATGACTGCATGCATGTTTAATTAATCTCTCGATTTTCTCTCATGATAATTACAGTAATAGGTACATCTAATAGATTTTGGATTCAGATGAGAGTTACATAATTTTTTTTTTTTTGAATTTGTTGTTCGTTGTAATTATTATTTTACGACGTTTGCCGCTACGGTATAAACCGGACCATATATACCGGTCTACGTAAACTTAAATTATATAATGAACTCTCTATACTACATACAACAGATTATAACAATATATATATATATACAAAAAAAAACTAAAAGATTAAATTTTGTATCATAAAATTTATTTATATGAAAATATATTAATGAACGTACTTTTATACACACATACATACACCTACACCTATGTTACAAAGTTAAGAAGCGAATACACTAAATTAAAATAAACGGAGTATTTAAAATAGAGCAGACAGGGAGTATTGATAAATTAGTCGGTTCTCCGTTACAATACAGGATTAAAAATGTTAATTGGTAGCTTTTTAGACAAAACCATTATGATCTTATTAATTGCACAACCGGCCGCTAAAAATATATAAATGTTTAACAAATGCTAATTCTAGGAGTATGTATATTATTTGCATAACATTTACGATAAATCTAGAATAAAATAACACTTAAAACTAAAAACAGACTACTAACATGTGAATGTTGTAAATAGCTTGTTCTATGTATAAGTATTAATTGAAATTTAAATTTATGAGTATAATGTTGGAAGGTGGGTTTTATCATATTTTATCTTACGGTCAACAATTAAAAACTGTTATTAATTGTCCCTATGTTACGGTCTTCTAAAATAACAAGACCTTTTGGAGGCTAAGAGGCAGATAAGTACCTAACATCAGTACTGGTAGATAAGCCTGATAATAACAGTAGATTTATTATAAGCAATAAAAACTGATTTCAACTATCACATATTGAGTAGCATAAATTAAAAAGTAATCCAATAAATAATCTCCCTCTTTTTTGACGTTGGCTTATACAGTAAAATAATACAAAAGAAAATAAGAGAAAAAATAATTTTGATGATAGGTATCGGTACTTAAAAATAGTATAAATATCAATTTATATTAAAATTATTCTACTTAAATGTTAATTAATTTTGGCAGTTTTTCTATTTACAGTGTAATATATTACTATTTTAACATTCAACTGACTGTACATATGGCGAATCATCCATTTTGGTAATAGAGGCAACTGAAGTCCGGCCGTCATGACCTGTAATAATAGATATAACGCTCCTGTGCTCAGAATCGCTGTCTCCACTGAGCGTTATGTTCGTCTCACCGGTGTATCCCGAGTCTGTTAGATCTTGACAGTGTGCCAATATATCTTGTGTTTCGTAACTGCACATACCTAATTCAGCGTACAACTCTTTCGACTCATCGAAATTACCGAAGAATACAGAATCGGTTTCAACGCTTTCTCCACCGGACTCGCTTCGTCCGTCGCATAAAGATTCCATGTCATCAGTGTCTGATTCTATTTGTAGGGCTAACGTTCTAACGTGCGCAGTCGTTTGTTTTGGGGCAGGTTCAGGTGGAGAGAATTTTGGCCGCAATTGCATCAAATATCTAGCTCTGCATTTGGACTCGTTTGAATCTGTGCTTAAATAACCTGAATCCTCAGTGCGGCACAGTTTCTTTAAATCAACTCTCCTCGATCGCATTCTAGAAGAACGACGCCCAGAGCGACGTACGTACATATTGTCGCTTCTAATGTATTGTGCTATTCTATCTTTTTCTTCAAATCGTTGTCTTTCGCTTGGTGGACTGTACTTCTCAGAACCTCGTCTTTGCTTTGGTGGTATAGGTGGCTTTGGATCATTATGGTATTCTACTTGCCGTATAAAATCTAAGGGCCGTATAGAGTTCATAAATGCTGCTATCTCCTGATTTCCGTATGGGACGCTACCACGTCTTTCATAAAATGGTCGAACATCACAATCCTTAGCCTTTGTTTTAGCTTCATATATTTGTCTCAAACTACCTATTTTTCTTGTAAACACAGCCTCGGGTGGAGTCTTTCTATCTTCTTGTTTTAATTCAAAGCCATTTTGAGGTAATATTTTGTGTTTGAAACTTCCACCTGACTTCAATAAAATCTTTTCCATAGGTTTCTTTACTTCACGTTTGGGTTTTCTATCAAGAGTATCAGGATCAAAATTGTCGTAAATTTTTTGTCTGTTTTCAACAGGCGATCCACGCACTTCTATTGTTAAGGGGCCTGGTTTTTCAATGTTGTTATATAGTGGCTCTATAGAATTAATTAACACATCTTTACTATTGCACTCATTGGAACTATGACACTCTAAATTATTTGTCTGCAAACTTTGAGAGTCAACTGTTTTCTTTATATCTTTCCAGCTTCTCGATAAGCTCTGTCTTGATGGTTTTGTATTTCTTTGAACGCTGTGCTCATTTTTAATTAACTCAGAACCAAAATCCAAGGAAAATCTTCGACGTTTTAATAAACTTCTCTCTAAACTATCGAAGTCAATTTGCATTTCGTTCAGTGGAGTGTTCTTGCGAATGTTTGTTGACATATTGTCATCACTATAATATTGTGAATCGGCTGCAATCACTGGTATGATAATTTTGGATGCCTTAGGAGATAAAGTTAATTTACTTAATTCTTGCAATTGACATTCTTCTGGTCGCTTACATTTGTTCAGTTCCTTTATTACCTCTTCCATTTTCTTTTTAACTTCAATTAAAACAGGTTCTTCATCTTTTGTCTTAGATTGTTCTGACATATTAACTGGAGGTGGTGGTGGAGGCGGTAATTTTTTTCTTATGACACGCTTTTTTGTGTCACTTAACGGGCTTTTATTTTCTTGCATTTTCATGCTTGAAGGCCTTTTCTCGCTTCGATTACTATCTTCGTAAGAAATACCTTGACGCCCTAGATTCTCTAGATCCCGTCTTTCGGTACTTTCTTTAATACGAAGATCATTCAAGTGTTCCTTTACAAATGATTCCATTATTATCTGAGAATCGTGTGTAGTCATTGTTTCATCATTGATAGGTATTTCTGGATTAAGACGAGCATCATCCTTCCTTTTCGACTCTACAAATCGTGGTGTTCCATTGACTTTAGCTACAGATTTAGCAGGTTTTATGGTTTGTGGTGGTAAAGGAACCTCATCCAACCATTTTTGAACTATTCGTTGCTTGTAATCATCACTAACGCAAGTTTTACAAGAGTTTGATCTAGTTAAACCCGGTGCTTTTTGCGACTTATCGCTACTATCGCACCCGGGGCAACCTCCGCAGTGCATTGCTCGTCTACTGTTTTCTCTCTTTAGGCTTACTACACTAAATCGTCTTGCGCGACGCGCACAAGGTATATCCCAGCCTAGATCGACAGTATGGTATAGTTCTTCCTCAGGTATGTCGGATAACATTGGAATAAATCTCTTTGACAACATCTTCTCTTTCGCAATAGCCATGATTTCACGAATTTTTATCAAAAATTCAATCGCTGCAGGCGGTGGATTCTAAAACAAAACATTTTTTTATCACTTAAAGTACAAATACTTGAGCTATTATTCATTATTTACGTTTTATTAAGTACCCCAATTGACGAAATACTGACTGTGGTACAATAATAATTATTAAAATATAATATTTAGATGAATAATATGCCATGAAAGAACCACAGAGTATCTACGCAATAGTGTTGTATATCTCATGGGGGCTGATAAGAAACGAATACCTCTTAGTAACGACTATCAAAATCCCCAAGACGAAAAATAAAAGCATCCTTTTAAAATGGAGTGTGTTTATGCTCATTGGCCACTCTTTAGTCTATTAAATAAAATGTCACTACGAGTATATATTCTCACCTTCAGATGTTCAGCTTCAAAGAACACTGGATTAAAATAAAGTTTTCTTCGAATAACTGGCTCCACATTTATAGGTGGGTTAAGACACGCCACCGTACTACTTTCAACGCTGCAATCAATGATAGATAAATCAGAATGTGGTGCTTTTTCTAGTTCGGGCGACGCGGAACGTCGTTGCAAGCGATCGGTGACTCTTTCTGGCGTCGATGTACGTATTGATGGTCTAGATGGTTTTTTTCGATGACTATGGACCATAGCGGAAACGATATTTGAATTCATACCCTGAAACTATTTAATAAATGTGTATTTAATACTTTAAAGATATATTAACAATACATTTTTGAATTAGATTCGCAACTCACTTTCTGGAAGTGTTGTGATGACACTTTAGTATCGTCGGTGAGCTCGCTTACATCAGATAAACCAGGATCATGGTAAAAGTCTCCACGTAAATCGTTTAAGTTTAATAAAGGATTTGACTTCATTCTCTGCAAAATAAAAGAATTTTTCATAAATAAAAATTAATAAATCATTACAAAAATAAAGCATGACTTTACTTAATCATGTAGCTGTTAAGCAGTAAGTCATTTATTTATTTATTTTGCAATAATCATACCACATTTTCCATATCGATGCGAGACTCTATACTTGATCTATTTTCCGTGGATGTGGTATTAGATAAATTCATTTCCATATCTACTCCCTTTCGTTTTTGTTTCTGTTTGTAATGTATATAAAAAATTATTCCAGCTGCATACACGAAGATGAGCATTAGCACGCAAACACCGACAGCCAGCGATTCCAGAACACTAAGCCCTTTAGTTTGATTGCCCTGTTCAACGTTAACTATTTCACCTGCGTGAAAAGGGATCGAACGGACATCTGTGAAAGGAAATAACTTATCACTCTTTTAATTAAAGTCATATTTTTAACTTATATTAATTGTATTAATACGATAAATATTTAAAAAAAAAAAACGGTAATTTTATACTACGCGGTCATCTCGTTTTATGGCTCTAGAAAATCGATGATTTTTTTAAAAATCTTCGACTTTATGGCGGATTTATGGAAAAAAAATATGAAAAATATCTCACACTCCTCAAGATTTCATATAGCTTTATGACTTTAAATGTGATCATAAGCGCACTTCTTCGAATGTAATCGTTTATAACTTTTTTGCAAAGCATTAAACTAGACTATTTGCTCGCTTCGCTAGCTCAATCGACCCCGTCATTTCCTTTTAACCTAACCTGTCCGAGATCTTACACTCAATAAAAACCAAAATAAAAAATTAATAAACAAACATTTTTTAATATTTTTAAATGTTCGTTTTTTTGTGTAGATTATTAAAAATTATAACAACTTCATTTGATTATTTAAAAAAAGTTATCAACAATTATACGTGAATGAGTGCATTTTCATGAACATTTAAAGCCTTGAAACCAATATAAGTTTAAAGTTTGTTATTCCTGTAATTTTTTTGTAATACCGCCGTAATAATGAAGAATTTTAAAAACATCATTCGATAGTATAAAATTACCAAAAAAACTATTAAATAAACACATACTGTTCATAGATTATTCATATAAACTGCTACACAGTAATTGAGTAAACTGTTAGGCAAATATAACGCTAAACCGTCTTTATGTTTTTTTTATCCGCCTGATGGTAAGTGGATGCTGTGGCCCACAGACATCCACATTTAATCCCCGATAATCAAAATGCAGATGCGTTGTTATCTAAGATGGAATGCCTCGTTCCAGTAAAAACGGGTCTCTGGATCTCTACACTCACCATATGAAACACAGCAGTATTAAGCTGCTATTTTACGCTGGTATTCTGTGGAGCGTGGTCCTTCCCCGGTCGATCCGATCCATTCGTGCTACAACTATACTACTAATATAACTGCAGCATGGCTCTACCACGTATAGATCTGGTAATCAAGTGGTTACTTTTTATTACTATAATTATTATTTTACCAAGTATGGTGTTGTGCATGGCACCAGCGACACGGAAGGCAGCGCAGGAGCCGGTCAGTCGTGTAGAAGTGGGCGCCGAGCACAGCACGTGGACAGCTACCAGTCGGCCTTCGAGTCGATCATGAAGGGTTGTTGAGCCCCGCCACTGCCACAAGCAATATGTTAGATGATTAAAATTCATGTTTTATCTTTTGTAGGACATATGATATCAATTAGAGGCTAGGTCCTAGACATTAACATACTATACTCTTTTATATACACGGTTATTTTGCTATTACCGGGTTATTTTACTATTAGAAGATAAGTTATATAGGCAAATGGTGTAAAAAAAATTCAAACATTCTGTCCTTTTTATCTTTTAAATTCAAAATGCGTGGTAATGCATTATTTTAAGTTTTAACTGATTTTACTGCGCACGCATACATTCGTAAGGGTCGATCGGTAAGCAAAGTTGTTACCCATAAATCACATCCAATTTGGGATAATTTCAAATAAAAGTAGAAGCCTTATTTACTCGTATTTTCAGAATTCTCGTAATTGCAATAACGGTATATCATTATATATTTGAGTTTAAGTTTAAAATTTGGCTACTATTTTAAAAATAACCCTGTATAAAAATCATTAGTAGAGTAGTCTCGCTAAAACTCGAAAACGGCTCGACAGATTTTGATGATTTTTTGTATTTATTTGAGTGAGTACCTGGATAGCTTGAAACTCAATTACACCCAGTAGGTGGCGCTGATGTCGAGATCCAGAAATCAACCGTGCGAAGCTGGAGTGGGACGCTGGTCATAGATAAATTGGTCCGAAACAGCGACTGAACTAAGGCCTCTCTTAATACGAGGGGATAATTGTTATCGCCATACTTCGAGTGTTATTGTATATTTTTATTTTATTTGTTATCGCCATACTTCGAGTGTCATTGTATATTTTTATGTTATTTGTTATTTCCATACTTCGAGTATTATTGTATATTTATATTTTTGGTTAAAAATAAACTTTTATAATAGTTTTATTTTACGATTTAAAAATAAGATTTTTATGATATTTTTGTCAACAACACCTAACGCTTGAAAAGACACTTTAGAGACACAATTGTTTGATTATTAAAAAACCAAATAAGTTATATTATAATTAAAAATGGATAGCAATTAATCAAACGAGTTGTTTGCATGTTTTACAATAACTTTCTGTGCTCTCTACTCACGCTCACTTTCAATTGTATAATTCTAGATCTATAAACTCGACCTAGCTAACGTTAATATGCAATCGTTGTTTAAAGGGAAAACTCTTTCGCTTTGAATGTGATTCTTTAGCCCGTGTCGTTCTTATGCTATCTGAGTCGGCCAATCTACATGCGGAATATGTGGACAAATTATAAAAAATGCTCCTGTTACGCCTCCACAGTTATCAACGAATTGATCGTGTCCGCCTGCTCTGTGTCGGATTTCAGCGCATGTGCTCAAGCTCAGATATTCTTTAACGATGACATCTTGTATATTTCATCAGGTTCACTCGTGCGATAATATCTTGGATGGTCCAGTTTTACACGTTTTTTCGAATGAGTACGATAAAAATTCTTTAGTTTAGACTGTACGAATGTGTTAGATTCCGCTAAAATCTAGAGTGATTTTTCGTAATTAAAAGTTGTATTTTTTATGTAGAATAGGAAATCTTTGCAGGCGTCAGATCTTAGGCATATCAACAATTTAAATTTAAAACATACATAAATAACTGTACATAACAAAGGTGGTGGGTTGGTATCAGTTTGAAAAGAAAACTTAAATTGAAAAGAAATCAATTAAGAATCACTTTTAGTAGTTACTTAGTAGTCAAGTATTGGTTATAAACGGTAAAAAAGGATGATTTTAAATAATCAACCAGTAAAATTATGTAAAGGAGGATCAAGGTTGGTTAAGAGAATTTTTTAAATACTCTAACTAACCCGAACTTTAAATGAAACAAGTTTTTGAAGTTTTTATTTATTTTCTACTTTATAAAAACGTTTAAAGCAATTAACAATTAAAGGCAAAATATTCATTATTGTCACTCATAAAACTTCAGGCATTCATACAATATTAGCATCCATTCATCCGCAAACAGGTTGCACTCAGGATTTGTGTCCAGGAGAGCATACGAGTAAGTGCGGTGAGGACTCGGGAACAGGCAAACCGATGTGCCATGGCACGGCAAAAAATGTATGCTTGCGATTGCGACAGTAGTTATTGGGTGCGTTTGGCAGAAAAAAGCGCTAGCAAGCGCTTACTAGCGCTAAAATAGTTTTCGGCCAGGACACGATTGCTACTTCAGTAGCGCTGACACAAACCGCCATTTTGCTTATTTAATTTGTTTGTTTTGAAGTAGAGTTTATAAGTTGTTTTTTGCAATATTAGTTTTAAGTAATATAATGACATGAATAGACATATACATGTTATTAAAAATTCACGATTGGTAAGTTTTTAATATGAATAATTCACAAACATATATTCAAATTAGGTTAGGTTCTCCGGTTAAAACTAACTTCATGTCCTAGAGGAAAATAGCTACTTACGATTTGACAGCGCTTACCGCTTACGATCTCCATTTTGCTTACAAGCGCTTGCTAGCGCTTTTTTCTGCCAAACGCACCCATTTGCAACAAAAAATTGACACAGTTTGGCACTCAGGTCTAGAGCGTCTATATTCCCTCGAATTATTTTACACGCCATGATAGCTTATTGGTACGCTCACCGTACTTGCAATGAGTTGTATAGCTCATAGAACCGAGAAGAAATTTAATAGGATATAAATGTGGATAGTATCTACAGAGGCACTTGTAGAGATATATTAAAAAGTCACTCCTTACAGGATTAATAAAGGGTAGTCAAAATAAGTATGGTAAATTTAAAGTTTTATTAATATTTCCAACATATTTTTAGCAGATTTCTAATCCACATAAATAAAACTACGTTTTGTCTGAATTTAAACAACACTCTTAAATTAATATTACTATGATACCTAGTGACAATAATTTAATATTTCATACATTCCGTAGAGAAGGTATTTTGAAATCTATGCGACTGAAGTTGCGAGAGACAACTAGTTTGCTACTAAAACTAATAAATATTTTTTTTAATTTACATTAATTTAAAAACTGTAGATAGAATACATCATCTATCCTAAGGACAATGATTAAGAATATCACAAAGATTAGAATATCTTTTGAATGGTTACATTAAAAGCTTCATCCACCACTTTATCAGCTACCCTTAAGGGTGTAATATGGATTTATTAAAATTGATACAGGACCATCCCAAAAGTATAACCAATTGAATAAAAAAGCATCATTAAAATTGCTTCTCAACTACTCAAAATGTGTCAACGATTTTTTGTACTGTACTGATTTTATTTCATTTTATTTATTAGGAAGCCAAAATAATATTATACACAATTTTTTGATATACTAAATAATTGAACTGATACTTACAAGCTAACTTTATACGCTAAACTAAAAAGTAGCGAACAATAAAGTAAAACACAAAACCGTAATACTTATAATGCACGAAAACAATCGTCTCTTTTTCTCTTAACTTTGTACGTACGTACTTTTAATTTTATATAAAATGGGGAAAAATGTTAAAAATAGCAAAAATTTGGTTATGAAGTACATTAAAAGTTTTTAAAATTCTATTGCAGCTTTATGTATCATTAATATCAAGTTGCTTTAGATTTTTTTGTTACAAATTAATAAAGATACAGACAGTATAAAAGAGTTAAAAAAAAGGTAATTTACTTCTTTAATTTAACGGTTTTGGTTACCCGTTTAATTAGTCCTAAAATTTCATTGAATTTTTAATAACATGATCCATATGCGCAGTTAAACTTAATTTATAATCAATTAAAACACTTGGATAACAAATTGCCTTACTATAAATTGGATTTGTTTTATTAAAACAATATTTGGTAGCATTTTAAACGTTTAAGGATTACATTATTAAGCTTGCGACTAACCTATTTTTCTTCATCTGTCTTTATTAATTTTTGAATAATCTCCGAAGAGAAGAATTCATTTATAACAATATTAAACAGGAGCCAGTATCAAAATCAATTTTTAATAAGTAATACCAAAAATATATATTAAAAGAAAACAAAAATAGCGGGAACAGTTTGTATTGAATATAAGAAATATTGATATTATTGACATTTTTCTGTAAATATAGTATAAATTCATAATTTTTTGTTGAAATTAAAGCTAACTTCTAATTATCGACTCACAAGTTCCCCTTTCGCTCCTAAGTGGAAACTTAATAAATGCATCAAGTCGATCTTTTTCATTACTTTTAATGGCATCTAAAATAATTAACAACTTCAGTTGTCCAGCTGTGGACGTTTATTTCCATAACACTAAACATTTGTTTGAAATTCGCCAATTCCATACACTGATTAACGATATCGCCATAAACTGAATTGCAGAACCTGTTTCTTTGTAAATAAAATTCATATACAAGTTAATTTCTGGGTGGTGCGATCAGATCAAAATGTTAATGCACTTGACTGTATTAAAAGAAATGTCATATTAAGAAGGACTGTAATGGCGCGTGCCTTATACGTGCGCATACGTTGTATACGCGTGAAAATCAGACTAAATGTTAAGGTTGTTACACATCATAGTAAGTTCTAAGTACAAGGGTAATTTCTTAGCAATAACCATAATATTGCGGAATTGGGTCCAGCCCAACAAGACACATGTATTCGTCTTATCTAGACATGCCAAGGAACATAAATAGAGTCATCGCGATACCGAAATACTTACTCTGTTTGTAGCGCCATTATCTGGGCGCATTTATGTGTTATGTATGTATGTTTTACTATCGTATTCGTACTGTTTGGTAACGAATAAAAATTTTACGATTGCTAAATTTATAATCGCTTTTCGAATTATTTGCCAGACATTAATTTATAAAGTTTCCTGTCCACATTTAATACGAAATAAATTATTGAAATTGCCGAGTGATGTTCATTATTTCCTTTTACTTACATTTATAAACGGATTCAAAGAGCTATTCTATTTCTTTGAGTTGTAGAATGATAGTTAGTGTTTTAATTCTAATGTAAAATGATTTAACGACGAGACACGTAGAAAATTAATTTAATTGCTATGTGATA